GAGTGTACCACTCATTATTTTATTAATTTATTGGAACGAAAATATAAACTAAAGGGCAGTATAAAATGATAGCTAAACTAAGAAATTACTTTGATACCATTCCTGAATTAACTGTTAAATATTTGCTTTACCAGTCAACTCATAACAACCCTACAGAACAAAGCAGAACTGCCCCTGTGGGTTTCCCATGCTGTGAAAGTTTACAAGAGCAGAGCCTCATCTTTCTCCTGCAGAGTGGGCAGTGGGTTCAAACTGCTGACCTTGGAGTCAGCAGCACATCTAAACCAGTGTTCCTCCTGAATTGGAGGATGGCAGTGGGTTTTGATTTGAGCTTTTGGGGATACCACTTAAATGTAAACTGAGATACTTAAGAGAATCAAATGTATTTTTTATTGGCATATAATTCACATCTCATACAATTCAATCATATTAGGAAGAGTTATGCAATCATCAACATAATTTTAGAACATTTCCTTCTCTAGTCTCTCTAGTTATTATTGTTAGCTCTCCACTTCCCCCCAACTCCCCATGCCATCTCCCTGGATAAGTAATAAACTAGTTCCTGTCTCTATATATTTGCCTATCTGGATTGGAGTCAAATATGATATTGACAATTTAAACTATTTAAAAAATAGTTTAATATACCTAACCCACTGATGTCAAGTCGATTCCAACTCACAGCGTCCCTGTAGGACAGAGCAGAACTGGCCAATGGGGTTCCTGAGACTGTACGCCTTCTGGAAGCAGATACCACATCTTCCACTCCCAGAGCAGCTGGTAGGTTTGAGCCACCAACATTTCAGTTAGCAGCTAAGTACTTATTGTGCCCTGGGGGCTTTCCTCTGTATATTAATAGTCAAATTTAATTTTAGAATCAGAACAAAATTCTTATGTGAAAAATATACACATTTTTTAAAAGATACCAACCTAAATATTTTACAGATTAACATTCTGCCTTATTTTGATTTTAATTCTTTTCAAAGTTCATATCCATTAACAACCAATTTGAATAAGAGTATCTGCTCAAAAATCGTGAAAAGTTTCTATTATTAGAATACTTTACAAATTCTTTGAAATCAAGGCACTTCATAATTCTAATAAATAAATCCAATATTTATTACTGAGAGTAGTGTCACTTATGCATTCATACTTACCAACTTTATAATTTATTCCCTCAGTATGAGAGAAGTAGCCTAAGCTATCTCTTCATTTAAAACCCCCAGAGTCTTGCCACTGCTTTTTATATGAAAATCTAAATAATGTCCTTATCGGACTTCAATGTACTATGTGATTGGGCTCTGGCCTATGCGCCAACCTTCCCTTAAATCACTGCATGCTGGTGCCCTTCAGATCCTCCACAGCTCTGCCCTCTTCATCTGAGCTATGCCTGCCGTCAGCCTTTCCAGGTGACGCCCACCCTTTCCTTCAAGCTCAGTTTAAACATCACTGTCTCGAGCCGAGTTTGCTTGTCACGGTCATCAAATCGAGAGCAACTCTCTAGGTCAGGGAAGAACTGCCCCATGGGTTTCTGAGACTGTCACTTCTTAGAGGAGTAGAAAGCCTCATCTTTCTCCTGTGAAGCAGCTGGTGACTTCAGACTGCTGACCCTGCAGTTAGCAGCCCAACACGCAATCACTGTGCCACCAGGACTATACTTCTAAGAGTCCCACTCTTTAAATATTTGTAAGAAATTATATACAACAAAGGTTCCCAAGCTTTATTGGTTCTCGGTGCTCTCCTGAGCTCAGTAATTTTTTTCTGCCCTCAGTAACAAAGGTCTTCTCCCTTTACTTTAAACCCCTTACAGGTTTACCACTGCCTGCATCTGAAAATCTAAATCAACTCCTAAACTGGACTTCAACTTCACCTTGTGATTTTTTAAAAGAGTCCCTATGCTAAAAAAAACAAACTCTAATAGAGTCATTTATTACTCAGGCTCAAACTTAAGTATTTAGGATATAAATAGTATTTAATAATATTATAAATCAGGATCTACATATAACCTCCTCCCTGGGGGACAGACAACAGAAAAGTGGGTGAAGGGAGGGAGACGTTGGACAGTATAAAGACATGGCAAAATAATAATAATTTATAAAGTATCAAGGGTTCATAAAGGAGGGGGGAGCAAGGCGGGAGAGGAAAAAAATGAGGAGCTGATACCAAGGGCTTAAGTAGAAAGCAAATGTTTTGAGAATGATGAGGGCAACAAATGTACAAATGTGTTTGACATACAATGGATGGATGTATGGATTGTGGTAAGAGTTGTATGAGCCCCCAATAAAATGATTTAAAAATATATTATAAATTCTATTTATGTCCTAGTTTAAGTTTGCAGGGCACCCAACAGATGTCACTGTCTTTCCCTCTATCTTTCTATAGTGCTTATTCTTTCACCGTAGTCCCAGTGCCGACTGGATGGTGTACAGTGGATGATGTCAATATTGTTAATACATTGAATGGCATATAACTCACATATCATACAGTTCAATAGTTAAATCACATCAAGAGGAGATGTACAATCATCACCAATCAGTTGCAGAAAATTTTTGTGATTCTTAGACCCATCATTATTAGCTACTGGTTCCTTGGGGGGATGGCAGGTATCAGTCTCTAGATTAGAGAACCAGATAAAATCCAGAAATGTCCACCGGTTAGAGTATGCTTATCGATGAGGCCATGGGCTCCATCCTAATGGCAGCTATGGAAGAACAGAGGAAAGCCAAGAACGAGTTCTTCCTTTTTTGAAGAACAAGATAAAGAAGCACCACTCAAATCAGTTATCAGTATTTACCCGGCTATCATAATTAAGCCATTCTGGCTATGGGGCAAGGATAAACAAAACCACATAGAATGGAGAACCCGAAGCCCAGCTACATAACACTTGAAAACCTGACATGCGATTAACACAGCATCTTAGATCAAGTGAGAAAAAGATGAACTATCCAACCCACTGCCATCAAATTGAGTCCCTATAAGACAACAGTAGAACCGCTCCACAGGGTTCCCAAGACTAAACCTTTACAGAAGCACATCACCTCACCTTTCTCCCACGGACCAGCTGATGAGTCCAAATCGCTGGCCTTCCAGTTAGCAACCCAGTGCTTAACCCACTGTGCCACTGGGACAGCTTTAAGATGACCTACATTACTCAATAAATGTTACTGGGGCAACTGGTTATCCATATGGGAGAAAAGGAGATTTCTACCCACAACATGTGTTCGTCAGCAGTCGAAACCACTAGCTGCTGTGTGGGAGAAAGATGAGGCTGTCCACTTCCATAAAGAGTGACAGTCTCAGAAACCCCAAGGGGCAGGTCTACTCTGTCCTATAGGGTCGCTGTGAGTCAGAATCAACTCAGTGGCAGTGCATTTTGGTTTCTGGACTCACAACAAGTAAC